CCCTCCCCACCGCGAGGCCTCGCGAGAGCGGGAAAGCGATTTCGACAAGATCGCCGCCGCCGCACTTTACCAAATCGCCGTCGAGCAAAATGAGAAGAAACCCGCCAAGTCCACCCACCGGGAGAGCAAATCCACCCGCCTGAGGGCTGAAAAGGCAGAACCCCCTCCCCCCCCCAATTCATCATCGACCCTCCACTAAAGGGCCCGATCGAGAGTAATCCCACGCCGCCGGAGGCTGCACCCCCAACCCTTCCCCGCTATGAACGGCGCACGCACAACTTTAAAAGGTCTAGTGTTCTGTGATTTTAGATACAAGGGAAATATGTTATTATTATTATTATTATTTTTTGCAAATACATCTTTTTAGTTATCTGAAGGCGTAGAGACGTATGTGGAGAAGGCTTCATGGCAGGAGTCGTAGCTGAGGCGTGACGGGGAAGTGTGAAGTTCAATAGGGTATAAAGAAGTGATCGGCGGAGGTTTTTATTATCATTATTGCCCTCGAATTCAATAGATGGCTTCCTTCTCTCCATTATCATTTGTGGGGTCCTATCTTTCGATGAGCGCGTCTTATTTTATTATTATTTTTCTTTTGCTCTTTAAAAGTAAAAGCCATAAGCTATTACTCGAATTTTTTTAAAAAGAGTTAAAAGTAATCTTCACAATCTTCTGTGTATTTCTCTGTGACCTCAGAGTGATTAACCCCCCCCCCCTTCGCGACACCCCAATGGCCTCCACCTGTATCTTTTGCAAAATCGTCGACGGGTCCATCCCATGCCATAAAGTCCTCGAAACCTCCAAAACGCTTGCGTTTATGGATATTAACCCCCTCGCGCGGGGGCATCTTCTCGTGATCCCCAAACAACACGCGGCGGAACTTCATTTTTTGGACTACGACTCCGCCGCCGAAATCGGGCGCGTGTTGGCCCGCATCGGTCGTGTCGTGGCGGGTCCAGATTTCAGCACGAAATACAACGTCCTACAAAACAATGGCTATATCGCGCATCAAGAAGTCGATCACGTGCACTTTCATTTTATCCCGAAACGGGATTCCGATTCTGGGCTGAAACTTCCTTTCTGGGAATCGCTCCCAACCGATCACGCGGCATTTGCCGAGGATGCGAAGAAATATCGTGAGTCTCTTGAAGAAATTCCTGAGTAGCTCGTATAAAATAGGCAGATAAAGGGTGAGGTAGCTATATGACTATGTGTATGATAACACAAATATATATATATAGAGAGAGAGAGAAAGAGAGAGAGAATTATACTTACATATGCTGAATTATGGAATACTTTATTTATTAAGCGCATTTCTGGACGATAAATTTTCTTTTTTTTTGTTATTTTAACTTGACCTATATTTCTGGTTCCTTGTTAAATTTTGAATCCCAAGAACTTCACTAGTAAATAAGCCTGCATTCTGGAAACCTATTACTCTTGGGACACTCAAGTGAATCCTGTTTCATCATATGCTTTGGTCATTTCTGGATTCTTTGGTACGCTTTGGTTTTCTATTTAAATTTGATTATTTACGTATAGTTGAACACACACACACACCAAAAAAAGATTCTTCCCCCCGCAATTTATTATTATTAAAAAAAAAACGAAACGATGGATGACGATACCCTTCTTGAAGAGCGCATTAACGCCAACGTTCTTCAATACCCCAAACACCTGCTTTCGTTGGTAGCGCTGATCACCAGTCTTCAGCCGGTCTACTTCTCCCACGCGATCAACGGGGTGGAGTGGGGCCAATCCATCAACGCCCTGTTTTACGTCTTAGTGACCCTCTTCACAACCTACACGCTCACGCAGGTGTATATTGTGATGGTCGATAGCGAGTTTTGGTCCCGTCAGCGCCACTTTACGGAGGGGACCGAGAAAGACGAAAAGCTGCTTCGCCGCCTGCGTTTACAGGTCGCCGTCGGGTATACGTTGTTTTTTGTAAATGGGGTCTTTTTCCTCATGTGTACATGCCTAATGACGTACATATTTCGCCATACGGACCCACTCACCGCCTACGTGCTTTCACCTTCATTAACCTCTGCACTTCTTTTGTATATTGCTCATAAGAATAAGGAAATTTGCCAACGTCGCCTGCGCCGGCATAAGTGAAGATAGGAAAATTTTTTAAAAAATGCAAAGATGATCAGGCATTCTACAATTGGTTATAGATGGGACATTTTCGCGTGCCGAAGCTTTTTTCCCTTTGTTTATTAGATGTAAAGGTGGAAGGCAAAATATATCATGGGGAAAAAATGCTTGAAGGAAATCTACAGCCGTGATTAATTATATTAACGTTAACATTCACTAATTCAGTAGTGAAAAGTGAACTCTGAGTTGCACACGTGAAGTATATTCCTCTTCCGATCTGTATGTTGATCATGTCTCTATGTTTTTCGATCTATGCATGTATGAAAATCCGTACCTTACCAGATGGTTTACTACAGTTAAATATTTATGATATATCGCTGTTAAGTGCCCTTCCTTTTCAAGTAAAAGAACATAATCCATCGTGTCCGAGGTCCAAAGGATAGAGACAAATACACAAAGAAAGGCAGGTGAGTGCAAATTCCATAAATAACTTTCTGTGGAGCTTTGACTTTGCAAGCAAAAAAAAAAGTACTTCCCGTAAAATTGAACCATGCATGGGAGTAACCTAATTTTTAATGTGCTCTTATAATTTTTGAGAATGGAAGTTAAGTGGGGCCTTTCTCGAGAAAGGATGTTGTGTGTTTCCTAAGTGGTAAAATCACGAGCTTTTATAGTTAAAGCATACCTCTTTCTCCCTCTCGCCGAGTCTTTGAACTTTTTTTTTTCAATCCTTGATGCGACACAGTGCATCCTAGTCATATTGTTTTTTCCCCCTTGGACCTATTAAAAGGATGGAAAATAGTTTATCCATCTCTGTCAATCCAGACATTAAGGAGGTTAGCTTCAACACTCCCATACGAGGTCTTATTACGGCCGAAGGACGACGCTATCCACTAACCTTACACGGATGTGTCCTTGATGTCACGTGTAAAGGCTACGCAACCCAGGTGAACCTCCAGCTGGAGTACATCAACGAGACGAACTCCAACAAGGCGGTCATGGCGTCCTACCCTTTGCCTTTTGGGTGGTTTCTCCAGGAGTGTAGTGTGCAGTATGATGGAAAAACCACGCGAGCGACCTACCGCGGCCATCCTGCGAAGAGCCAAATCTATGATGAAATCAACAGCGCCCTCACGATTATCCCAACCCCGGACCTTCTGACCTTGGGCGTTGTGATGCAGCCACTTCCATTTATGGTGCGAGTTGGGACCTCCGCGTTGATGAATGCCGTTTATTGCGTCCCACACTGGCAAGGCCTGCCCGTGCGATCCGCATCGATTTTTAGTCTCGAATTGCCCTCGATGCTGTTTCCGGTAATGCGGCGGCCTCACGAAACTGTGGTGAATTATAACCAAATGTTTACGTTGGTGAACGCCACGCGATATTTACAACACGGGGTGGAGTTGAACGTCTCGGCGGAGCTTCCGGCCGCATTACGCGGCCAAGTCCGCCTGGAGCGCCTGCAAACCTCCGACGCCGATGGATCGCCCGTTTCGATTCCACTCGAATCTAACACGGAATACCTTGGTGATAACGCTTTTCACCTGCGCTATACCGCACCTCTAGAGGACCTCTGCACGCCTTATCGACCCGCCTTTTTACAGCTATCCTGCAATTTGCAAATTATCCAGGAGCCCCTGCGCGTATTTATGGAGAAAGATGAGTCGGATACGATCGCCGATGAGGACAGGATTGCCGTCGTCGCGTACTTCACGCCCAATCTCCGCCGTAATTCTCCCAATGTAGAGCTGGTAGTGGTCTGTGATGCCCACAGCCCCGAGACCCTAATCGCGATGGCGGATGCCCTACGGGCCTCGTTGTGCACCCTGCCAAACTCGGTCTATTTCAACCTGCTAATCATAAGTAATGATAAAAACATATGTCTCCATCCAGATGGCGCGGTTCTCGTGCCGGAGGTGCAAATCGAGGCGACGTTGGCGCTGATCGCCTCAGCGAGTCCTCAGAAATCCCATCAAGGGGAGGGCGTATCGCGCCTTCCACAAGTCCTTCATGGGTTGTTTACCCACGCGGGGTGGTCGGGGGGGGGGCCCATTCGGGAAGGCTACCTACGACATATCGTCGTGCTTTCCGACGAGGCGAGTACGG